AAAAAAAAAAAAAAAAAAATAAAGAAAGAAAAACTTCAATCGCCCGAAAGTCGATAAACGCGCTGCCCGGCAAAAGGATTTTACTGTGACATAAAATAATAATTTATATCCCTGCGCTTCACCTTTCTGCGTCTGTGATTTCATCTTTCCAGAGCTATCGCGCACTATTAAGTAAGGAGTAAAACTGGAACTGCGTTGCCAAATAAGGCGCGAAGTTGAATTCCGAGATGCTTGTAATTCAAATTGAAATTTTTAATTTTCAAAATAACAGGAGAGAAGATAACAAGTCAAAAAAAAAAAAAATATATATATATGTAATTCGTGTCTAGCTTTCGTCTTTATACATCAATTTTCACGATCAAATTCCATTTTTTAACGTTCTGGAAGAGAAAATTATGGAAGAAAATTTCAAAAATTTATTTCCCTTCTTACCATTTCTCACCGCCTAGACTTTTTTTCTTTTATAAAGTTTAAGTTATCAAGAATGAAGGCGCGTTAATATCGTATTTGAGCACGAAAGGAAATGAATATTTTTTTTGACGTAACGACCTTCACCTGGATTCTGTAATTAACAAATTGAAATACTATGACAAATTATTGGTTGGCCCTCGATGGGTTGAAATTATCCGCAATAATCATCCACCGTTACAGAAATCAGAAAACGATCTATAATTTTACAATTTGTATCTCGTAACTTTGTCGTTCTTTGTTGCACAAATTTTCGATCGTCGAATATCATGCAATTCTGTCGTTTCAACGTAAGCGGAAGCCAATCGGCCTGTGAATCGAGACCATGTGCGAGTCGTGGCCGCTTTTCCCATCGTGTGAATTTTCTGCTAGCTGTTACCTGCGCGTACCTACCTTCGTGCAACCTCGCGAACTGTATTTCGAGTAAGTGTGGCACGCGCCGGAATACGTGGAAGTCGGTATCATGGGATAGGCCCGGAGAGAGGTTGCAGTGCAAGAAGTGGTCGGAAGACGGGCGAAAAAGGGGGGGAGGGAGGGAGGAGAGAAGAGGGAGAACGGAGGGGTTGAGAGAGAGGGGAAGACAGGTGCATCGCACCGCCAATTATATTTCGGAAGGGAAAAACGAGCAGTGCATAAAAACATGAAAAA